TTTGTAAGACTCATAGGACCAAGCTCAATTGAGTCTCCTATGTTAGACTTTTCCTTCACCAATCTATGATTCCTTCGCAGCTTTCTTGAAGCATGCTTAGAATTTGTTCTTTGAGCATCGGGAAATTTGCTAGCTGGATTGATAGCGACCAAGGGCGAAGGTGAAAATGCATGAAATTCAAATGTATGAATGTACAGAAAAGCGTGGGTATGAAAAAAAATATTTTTTTGCCTTTGAGGGTATGAAAAATTATTTTTATGGAGATGCGATGCAGTGCGAGGTTAGAATGAAGATATATATAAGGACACCCTTATACAGGTTTTAGGAATATACATACACAATGTGAAACCCCTACAAGCTAGGGATTATGACTTACAAAAGATAACCCCTACATGCTAAGGATTATGATAAGCCAATGGACAGTTCAGGTGATGATTTGAATGAGGGAATAACGTGGAAGATAGCACATGGTGACTAGTAACGGTCACTAAATCCCATGACCTGATATAGGCCATATGGCGTGCATTAGCGAGGACGTCCTTCGTGGCAAGGTTTCATATGGAGAACAAGATCATACAAAGGTTCTAATGGTAATGATGGGCCAAAGGGGGATCCCTATGGGCTAGGGATAGTAACAGACACATGGAAGTCCCTACAGACTATAACATACTTAAGGGAATCCCTATGGACCTAAGGCTTGTAATTGACAAACTGAAACCCTTGTGGATTTAGGATAGTGAATGCTCTATATGGGTTTAGGGTATGTGAATACCCTATACCAATTTTTGGAATAAATATAAAGATGAGGATACCCTTACAGGTTAAGAGGATATGATGTTGATAGAATAACCTATAGGAGAATTCCTATAAAGGTTCTAAGTTTTTCTACCCTTCCCTATAAGGTGGATTCGTTAAGGATATCATGGATAACACTAGAGGGAAAGGCACAATGGCCTCCCTTAAGTGGAGTCTTTTTGTAGACCGAAACTTTCGTCTCTAGACCATGAAAGGTCTCGCCATGAGATTTTGGTTTAAGGGTTATACAAAGAGTCACATAAAAGGTCTCTTGAGACGGGTTTTGTTTTTCGGAATTCCACTGAATCTAGGCGAAGTCGTCACATAAACTCATAAGAATGATGTATCCCCTTGGCTAATAGACGAACCTTCTTTCTAAGGGTTTTTTTTAAATTAAAATGAAAATTCCATCAACAAATAAAAACAACAAATGATAATAATATAACGATAGGTAAGTAGACAAAAATAAATAAATAAAATAAATAAAATAAATAAATAAATAAAACAAATATTGAAAACACCAAAAACCTATAAAAAAAACTAAATCTAAGAGGAAGGCTTCAAAACCCTCGGGTTGACTTCCCAACAGAGTCGTCAGCTGTTATAACTGGTTTGAAATTGAGAGTCGTCACCCTTAACTTTTATCTTTGAGAATGGAATATAAAGGATAACTCTGATTTGGTCAGAGATTCTAAATTGTTGGACTCGTTCTTAGACTAAGGGAAGGTGTTAGACACTCCTATCTAACTTGTTCACAAGGATACTAGGGTTTAAAATTACGGCTTAGGAAAATAGGGTTTTAATTTTTATTAGTGAAACTCGCCACAATTTTAGTCGCATGCCTACGTATCCTCTTATGAGGAATCAGGGTCTCAATTCGTAGTTCGCAGTTGGTTGGTGTTTTTATGGATTACGAAGATATTTGAATTTCCTTTGAACCAAGCCTGGATGTGTGAATAGCGAAATTTGTAGATGAAGTTCGTAGTCGATTAAAAAAAATTTCATAATCCTTTTTGAAAATGATATCTTGGATTTTAAATTATGTTAGTGGAAATTGTTAGTAATTTAATTTCTTAGATATTTTTTAAAATATATTAAGAAATATAAGAAAAATAATTTTAACGCATGATAAAAAAATCTTAATGCAATTTTTAAAAGTAATTAAAGAATGAGTTAGTAAAAAAATGAATTTTATAATAATAATAATAATAAGTATATTAAGTATTAAAAATATTAACAATAATATGAAATATAAAATATAAAAAAGAATAAAATTAATTAAAAATGTAGGAGGGTGTATTTTATTTGGACTGAGTAATACAGAGGTGCAGAAAGTAGGACCCTGAATCCAGATATTAGATTCGGGCCCAAACGCAAGAGGGGTGTAAGCTTAATTGAAAACGGTATAAAATTTTTAGTAATATCCTAAAAAAACTTTAAAGGAGTCCATAACCAACACTACAAATTCTAATCACATAAATAGAAAGCCACTAAGTAATTATAAAAAAGAATGTAAATAAAAAACAACTAAAATTGTACCTTTTAGCAAGGAGTAGACAACACCCTTAATCTAATCCAAATGTGAAGAGCTTTGACTCTTTCTTTTCAAAATTACCAATCAACCAATAGATAAAGGACATGTGGTATTGAAAAAACAAAAACAAAAATACACACACCAACATGTGAGAGAGAGAGAGAAGAAACAATTCATTCAAACTCCACCTCTCTTTTTCGGTCTCTTGATCTATTTTCTCTTTTCTCATATTTTTGACAATACTCTCTATATTTCTCACATTCTTTAACCTTATGCTTGTAAGTCTTATTCCATACCAAATGTGATATGTTATTCATTTGAAATAAAAAATTCAATTGAAAGTATATGAAAGATGAGCAGATATTTACTGTTTTAAAATGCACATAATTTGATATAAATTATTATATATTTTTAAATTAGCGAAATAAATTATTGTTAAAATGTTAGTAAAATTGAACCAAAGAATATTATAAAAAATAATATTGAAAATATTTTTGACGATAGAAATAAATGGTTGACAAATTTGGGATATGACAAAAAAATTAATTAATTAACTATTATAATATTTAATTTAAATAATTAATTGATAAGGCGTTAAATCAATCTACTAATTTCTCGAGAATATGAAATCTTATCAATTATAAAAAGAAGGTGTTTAATTTTATGTATATGTTTATTTACCAGATGTAAATAAATAAAAAATTATTGTTTTCGAACCTAAATAAACAAATTTGAAACTAAGTATATATAAGAAAACTAAAAGAAGTACCCTATTTAAACAAAATTAATACAAATAATTAGCTAAAATAAATAAATAAATAAGTGGATTAAAATACAATTAAGGGTTTGCAAGTTTATGTGAAATAATTTACCAGGCCTAAAAATGACCCTTCTTACTCTCTTCTTTCTCTATCGTCTGCCTCTACTTTTTCTTTTTTTTTCCAAACACAATTTCTCTCAGTAAGCAAGAATTCCCTGCAAATTATATCCAACAAAACAAATCACTAAACAACATCCAACATAAATTAAAGAGAGGGTTACCTGTGTTGACGGTGAAGTGACGAAGATTGCATGTCCGGTGGCTGCGGATTTGCGGGATTTGATCGGAGGGAGGCCGTGCTGCGGCTGAGCTCGCCGGCGTCGGAAGTTCCGTTTGAATTAGAGGAAGCGTGTGGATCATCGGTAATTGTTACTGTAATGTTACTGTGGTGGAAGTGATATGAAAGTGAAAATGGAGATTTTATGGTTTATTCGTTTATATGCTAAGTTTAGTGGTAAGATTTTGTGTAGATGAAGGTTCTATATATATATATATATTGATGGTTTTGAAGAAACATTTTCAAAAAATTTTTTTTAGTGAATCTTTTAAATATGTGCCTCATTAACGGTTACTTTCTCTCTCGACATTTTTAGACCAATTATAATCGAGGTGTTAAAAAATATTCAATAGTTGAATAGTTGCGATAGAGTTTTAAATGAGGTGTTGAAAGTGAGGTGGATTAATTGAGGTTAAAAATATTCAACCTGTTGAATGAGGATGGAGTGAGAGTCACATATAATATTTTGCAAAATATTATGGATTGTTGTGATTGTTTAGATTTGTATTTCACCTTAATTATTTGGAATCAATTATTTTATAGTAAATCAATTATTTATTTATTTTTATTTTCACCAAAATTCATCATTTTTTTTGTCTATAAATAGATATTTGTTTCACTTGATTTAGACATAGAAAAAAAAATCGACTTTATTAAAAAAAAATATAAAAAAAAATAAGAATATGAAAAAAAAGTGATTGGATAGTGTGTTGAATTTTATTAAACAAAATTATTGTAAAGAGTAAAAGTTGAATGAGTATTGAATTATTAGGTAGAAAAAAGAGAAAATAATATAAAGTGTAAAAAATAAAAAATAAGGATGTTGAATCCATGAACCATTGAACATAGTCTTAGGACTTGTCGATCTCCCTTTCTCCGCAAACAATTACTTTTTCCAAAGAAATTGATTTTTTGAAAATATTTGGACAGTAATATGAATATTTCTTGTAGTGCAAGTAACGATATAAACTAGCAACAAGATGAATTTGATGTGTCTAAACTAGAGAGAAATTTAAGATTGAGATACAAATTGTCTTTCTTTTAGTTGCGTGTACAAATTAATTTGTGTTGAGTTTGGCCCTCCACGTATGTTGGCCCAACAAAATGAGTTATAGTTTTATGTATTTATATCGAATATGTATTATACAATAAGCACATAAAATTAAAGAACCATCAACAACCTCTCAAAAACAAAAGTGGGTTCCCATGTAATGCATACTTGCCACATTCGAATTGAAAGGTGCAAAATTTTTGTCATAAAATTAAAGATGCTACTAATTCCAAGGGTTTACTCTCGTCCAAACAAGTTTATAATATCAAATTTCTATTTAAGCAAATGCCTAACAAAACCAATGGATAACTTAAAGCCTACGTAAACTTTTATCATAGATATAAACAAAACCTATCAACATAATACAAACTAAAAACTCCCAAAATTCTTATAGGCCTTAAGAAGCCTTGTGAAAAATTTCTAACTAACATTTCTTTAATCAAGTTTCGTCATCATAGATTCAACCGATCCAACAATAATAACAACAACAACGACGACAACAACAAAAAAGTCATCATCAAAAATGACAACTTTAACTTCGGTTATCGTAATTCTAACAATTTTGACTCTAACATTGACATTCTTTGTTGTTGATGCTAAACAAAAAAAACAAAAACTTCAAATACCTTTTCCAATCTTTGGAGGAGGTCAAGCAACAGCAAAGCCTGATTTCGATACAGCTTCAATTGGACAATGGGAGATACTTTCACAAAATTCAGGTGTTTCTGCCATGCAGATTAATTTGATGCCAACCAACAAGATTGTTGTTTATGATGCAACGATATATCGTCTCTCTAGACTTCAATATACGAAAGGAATGCCATGTGTTCCTTACAGAGATGATAGGACTCTACAAAATAAAATTGATTGTTTTGCTCATTCTATGGAATATGATATTGAAACAAATTTAGTTAGGCCACTCAAGGTAAGTGTCATTATAGGCTTAAGTATATTTTTCATTTTTTTTTAAATTGTGTTTTATATAATTAGAGAATAAAAATGTTATGATTTGATTAAATGGTTGATGTAAATGTTTGATGTAATGTTTTGTGCAGGTGACACAAGATCCATGGTGCTCATGTGGAGGTCTTACACCTGATGGGACCCTAGTAAGTGCTGGTGGATTTCAAGATGGTACAAGAACCATTAGACACTTTGGTGGTCCTACTTGCAAAGGAAACAATTGTGATTGGAGAGAATATAAAAATACTTTGCAAGAAGATAGATGGTATGTGTAATCAAATTTACATAAACACTACAAATATATTGCTACTAGGGCTATGTTATGGTTTAATTTAGTTTGGTTCAGTTTCTTGGCTAGTAAGTTATATGATGATTTTCATTACTTTATTGTTGTTCAATTAGGTATGGAACTCAAACAATCCTTGCAAATGGAGACTTCATTGTAGTAGGAGGACGTAGAGCATTTAGCTATGAGTACCTTCCAAAACAAGAAGGCCTAAAAACTGAAAGAATCTACTTCTTCCCATTCCTCTATGAAACTTCTGATATTGATGAAAACAATCTTTATCCATTTACTCATCTCATACCTGATGGTAACCTCTTCATCTTCTCCAACAACCGCTCTCTTCTCCTTAACCCTAAAACCAACAAAGTTGTTCGCACCTATCCCGTCCTCCCCGGAGGTGCCAGGAATTATCCAGCTTCCGGTACGTCTGCCCTCCTTCCTATAGATCTATCTAACCAAGACAACAATGGTCCTTACAAAGCAGAAGTTCTTATTTGTGGTGGTAACTCTCATGATGCTTTCTATATTGCCGAAACAAAGAAAACATTTGAACCTTGTCTCAAAGATTGTAACAGGTATTACTCTGGTCACTGCTATAAACAAAAAATTATTATTTTTTAGGTTCACCAAATAACTGATGTATTTAATTTATATATAGGATGATAATCACTGATAAAGTCCCGAAATGGGAAACTGAACAAATGCCTTCAAGTAGAACCATGGGAGATTGTCTAAACCTTCCTAATGGACAACTTTTGTTTATCAATGGTGCACAAAAAGGAACAGCTGGATGGTGGGATGCTGATTCACCAAACCTAACACCAGCATTGTATTATCCAGAGAGAAAGAATGGTCAAAGGTTTAAGCAAATGGCTCCAACAAAAATATCAAGAATGTATCATTCAACTTCAGCAGTGTTACCCAATGGAAAAATTTGGGTAGCTGGAAGTAACACTCATGATACATACAAAGATATAGATAAGTTCCCAACTGAGACAAGAGTGGAAGGCTTTTCTCCTCCTTATTTGGATCAAACTCTTGACAAGCATAAACCAATAATGATTGATGAATTTACAGGAAAAAATTTGAAGTATGGTCATAAATTTGAGATACAATTTATGTTGCCAAATGATGTGGGTAATAATGATTTAAGTAAGGCTGACATTAAGGTTACTATGTATTTCCCACCTTTTACTACTCATGGATATAGTATGAGTCAAAGGCTTTTATTGCTCAATATTAGGTCTATCTCTACGGATCGCCAAGGACTTTATAGTATTGTAGCGTTGGCGCCACCTTCTGGTGAACTTGCTCCTCCTGGATATTATTTGCTCTATGTTGTTCATCGCAGCGTGCCTAGCACGGGATTGTGGATCCACATCGAGTAGGGCTCTCGGAGTGAAATGATTATACATAGTACAAAGGAGAATCATTAGATTTAAGAGAGAAAATTCTCAAAAAAAATTCTCTCTTGTTAATCTAATGACTCTTTATTGTGCTATCTTAAGCATGTGATGTTCAATCAATTCACGCGTACTAACAAATAGAGTTTGTTAGTAGTTTTTGATTATTTATGTATAATTTTATGTAGTTGAATTGTAGTTAATGTTTTATGTACAAAATATGGAGGGAATAGTCATGTTATTATTAGTAATGTAAAAGTTAACTTATTGCACAAAAAATAGTATGTTTTCTATACATGTAATGTATATATGAAGGAGTATTTAGTTTTTGTGCAATGTAAATGATGTAAATTGTATTGCAAGAAGTATGGAGAGAATTTTTTTCATAGAAATGATCTTTCACCTTTTAATATATGTTCACTTGTTAGTTTAGTATGAATTGTTTAGCGCTTAATTTCTTCATTGTATTTTGTGTGTAACTGAGATGTTTTTCATCTTGAGCAAAAAGTAACAAGATTCTTAAATTTAATGTTATTCCAGCTTGACCAAATAGTTCATATAATGTTGACAATAACAGATTATAGGTAAGTGGTGATTTCTTGAACCATGATTACGAATCTTAATTGAACTTGGTTCCTGGAAGGTTTGTTTTTCTTGTGAAATCTTAGATTAAAGGAAATTAGCCCATTGATCTTGAAAAGAAACAAAACCTTGGTAATATTTAGAATGGTGATAGAGACTATGTGACAGGGGCTAAGGAGTAAGGTTGATAGGAAGGAAGCGCTACTAAGCTTGTTGATCAGGAGTAGAGGCAAGAATGAAGGAGTGTTGTGGTCCCTTAACAAGGGTCAACAAAATATGACAGAAGCTTCATTGTCTTTAGATCAACATAATGAGTTACAGAAGGTGTTGAAATGCTATGACAGTGTGTTTGAATAGGTGTTCGGGTTACCTCCTAAACGGAGGAGGGAACATGCGATTAACATTCGTGAAGGAGAAGTTCACATTAATGTAAGACCTTATCGCTACCCCCACCTTCATAAAAATGAAATAGAAAGACAAATTCAAGAGATGCAAGAAACCATAATCATTAGACATAGCTCAAGTTCCTATTCCAGTCCCATCATACTTGTGAAGAAGAAGGATCACATGTGGCGTATGTGTGTGGACTATCGTGCTCTTAAGAAGTTGACCATTCCGGAAAATTCCCAATTCCGGTGATTGAAGAGTTGTTAGATGAATTACATGGCGCACGATATTTGTCCAAATTGGATTTAAAATATGGTATCACCAAGTTAGAGTAAAGAGTGAGGATGTGCACAAAACGGTGTTCTGAACACACGAAGGGCATTATGAATTTTTAATTATGTCGTTCGGACTTATGAATGCTCCATCAACTTTTCAAGATCTTATGAATGAAGTGTTTAGACCAATGTTGAGGAAAGAAGCCTTAAGGATTTGTTACAACAATTAATCATAATGGGTGAACAACAAAAATGGGTAGCCAAGTTATTGGGGTTCAATTTTGACATACGTTACAAGCCGGGGAGATTGGATCAATGGACAGATGCATTATCATGAACTCAAGATGGAGGTGAATTTAACAATATTGTGTCTTATCCTTTTTGGGAAGAGTTGCAGCAGGTGCAACAGGAGATACAGGCTGATGAAAAGCTAAGAAAAGTTTGGCAAGAGTTATCTGGGGATCCTGCATCATATCCGGAGTACGGTATACAACATGGCCAATTAATATACAAAGGGAGGTTAGTTCTGTTATCACAATATATGTTGATTCCGAGATTGCTGAAGGAATTTCATAGTTCACCTCGGGGAGGGCATTCAGGATTCTTGAGAATGTACTGAAGAATAGCTACTAATGTATATTGGTCGGGAATAAAAAATATTGTTCAAGAGTTTGTTCCAAGCAATCATAACAACCTTTTCGATGAATATGTCTACCAACCGATTAAAATTCTTAATCTGCAACTAGAAAGGAGTATACTAGCATTTCATTCATGTTTATGATTACTTGTGGGGTTATTGGATGGATGCTTAGTGTTGTTTTGGTGCATGGTGGTGATAGTTATGGTGTATTCTCTAGGATTGTTATTGGTTGGCGTGTATGTTATTGAGAGTTTGGTTTACATATTTTGCAGAAATGTTTCAAACTTTGTCTATAGATCAATTGGAGTGGCTAAATACATCACCATCTGCCATACCATGGACATGAGTTGACGACACTGCTTGAATATTAAGGTGCTATTCTATGATTGAGTAATTTGTAGCCGATTCATAAAGCGAGTAGTGCGGTTAGTCCTTGCTTTCCTACTGCAGGTCATGGAATTCATAGTGGATAAAATGCCTACCCAAGTATAAGTCCAACACTTAATAGAGAGTATTTAACTTTTGAGGCATAATGTAGTTTAATTGTGCGTTCTGTTGCAGCCTGGTTTCAAAGAGTGTCGCCGAGGCGGGTGTGCTATACATTTTTTTTTTTTATTTCAAGTTTTCTCTTTAATCCTTTAAGAACCATTCGATTCGCCGCTTCGGCCTGTCCGTTGCGTGTTAGACGATGAAAATTTATTTAGAGGAGGTGAATAGATTCCCAAACAAAAACTTGGTATTTAAAATTTTGTTTTGAAAATAAAACAAAAACTATGGCAAGCAGAAGATTAAACTTAGATCGAACAAGTCGTTTAAACCGAACCGACTATTGGAAACTCAGATATACGTAAACCACATAATGATATAGAAAATGATGATAAGCCTTAATACAATAATTTCTCAATCAATTGTTTTATAATGAACACAATTGTTAACCAATTTCCAATGGAATTACTGAAAAAAGCTAAAACAAGTAAATTATCGAACACTTGGCGTGCAATCGATTTTTCAGATTTTCCCTTTGACTTTGTTGATATGAAATACCACCTACAATCAAATTTATTGTAATGTAACAAAAAAATATTTAACAATTAAAGGATATGTCTATACGAATCGATTACACAATTAATGAATTGAGAGAGAGAGAGCACAAAGATTTTTTTAGACAGTTCACCAATCGTCCTCGCTATGGCTATGTCTGCCCCTAATTCTATTTGGAATTGAGATAAGAATTCTTACTATGCAAAAAATCATTTACAAGATAAATGTAACAATTAAATCCTACAAACTTTATGTTTGATGTTGATTCTAACACTTTCTCTTCCCTTAATCTAAATTTGATCAAGTTACCCAATAGACCAATATGATTCACCATCTCACGCTACTATTTTGCAAGAACAACCGTTCTTCAAAGCCTTCGCTCGGTCGAATCCAAATTGAAAATTATTGTCACCCTAATATTTCCAATCGATTCACCATTTCGCGCTACTCCTTTGCAAGAACCTCCCGTTCTTCAAAGCTTTTCACTCAATCAAATCCGAATTTCTAAATCTTGTCAAAACCCCCAAATCAAATTATGATCTTAAAGGAAAACCCTCACAATTTTTCCGATGAAACCCCCAAAAACTCTCAACTTAATTTTAGCTTATACCAACCTAAATTGAATGTTATCAACACAAGTCTAGATGACACCCAAACAATAAATGATTATATGTACGTTGTTTGTGTGTATGTATAGATGAGAAGTTGAAGATGATGAGAAATTTTTATATATGTTTATAGTTTCATCAAATTGAAAATGATACATGTATGAAGTATTTATATGTGTGCAAGTTGGATGCAAAAAGGGATGCTTAAAAATTGAAAGGAAATGCATATTTTCTGGAAAATTACAGCAAGTGTCGACACGTATAGGTCATGCGTCGACACATGTAATGACATATGTCGACCTATACAAGGCCATGTGTCGACACATAGGCAGAAGCTTTACAACTTTAAAAATACAGTACATGTGTCGACCCGAAACACGTATATATCGACACATAGATGAAAATTTTCAGCATGTGTCCACTATTGCACCGCAAAAAAACACAGAGTCGTCACCAAACTCTATTTATCCCGAAGGAAGGGAAGATATCGAGAGAATCCAAAATAAATGGATAAGATGGTCTTGCGACCAAGAGAAAGGGTAAGGAAGTCGGTTACGGGAGGGGAAGGTATTAGCACCCCACACATTTGTGGTAGTCCATAGGATCCACTTTCGTTTGCTCTAATCTAAGGGCGTGTAAAAATCTATGTCTAAAGCTTACTGCTAAAAGGGAATGCACGTGAAAGAAAATACGGGGAAAAGAAGGAATATTTACAAAGTTTCGCTCGCCCAGGCCCCGCAGCCTAGTGCCTACGTACTTCCTTGTGCAATGGGAAAGTCGGAGCACCGTAGTTTGGCTCATGTGTTTTGGTTTATTTTGTGTTTTTTAATGGAACAATGTTAAGCTTCGCATTCTACCGCTGCTCGACCCTGGGAGACTCACGCGTATGTAGTAGAAAGGAACTAACATGCTCAGACCTGACGAGGTATCTTCAAAAGAAAAATACCCGATGGCGGATAATGTTTTGTACGCAAATTTTTGGAAAGTAGACATGGGTGCAACCCGACCTTTGGGGATTTATGCGTCGTACCGCCTAAAGTAGAACTAACACATCCTTTTGAGAGTTTCGATGAAAGGCCCGAAGGCGAAAAGAGTTTGGATTGGTTGATGTTTTTTACCTTGAAAAGGGCTTTTTGTATTATTAGAGTACTTTTGAAGTTTGAAAGGAAAAGAAACGGTTTTAGTTTTGATGCATATGCAAAAGAGGGAAGAAAATGCTAAAAGGGAAATGTCTACCTACGTTAGCATACAAAAGACCTAAGGCAAGGATAACTATCCTATAGGGAACCTGCCAAGAGATCTATGTCGTTATCTCAATTCTAATTGAGTGACATCATCGATCGTCAAAAGAATAAAGCCACAAAATCCTATGGGGAGCATGCACAGGTCGAAGTCGTTATCTCAATTCTAATTGAGTGACATCGTCGATCGTCAAAAGATGAAGCAAACACAAGCACAATTAACAAACAAGTGCGGAATTCCTGCTACAAGTCTTTAAACAGCGACTTCGAGCGCACGCTCTTTATTTCCTACTTCTATGATATCTAAAAAATCGGTAAAGCATGCATCTGTATTCCTACTTCTCATTGCATCAGAAAACGGTAAAGCACACATCTTTATTCCTACTTCTCATGGCATCAGAAAGCGGTAAAGAATGCAAGAGATAAAAGGAAACAAATGAGAATTCCAATCAAACGCAAGTTCGTCAATTATCAAACGAAAGCAAAGAAACCCGGAATACTTCGAGCAAGCTTCACCAAATAACAGAGAAACAGTCAGAAAATCAGATATAAAAAATGAGGTCAAAGCATCCATGTGAAAATAAACCACATGCATCTGAGTCGTCATGTAATAGTTGTGTACACGATACAAAACAATACAATGCAAAAGTAATTTGCAAATATCACGGTGCATGAAATCTCCATTGGAAGCATGCACAAATCCACAAAATGAGTTAGAAAATAACAAAGAATCATTCAGGGATCAGAACCTACCATTTAACCACTCATAATACCAAGGAAATTGGATCAAGGATACGGAATCGACAAGAACACGTTAAAATCCTAATTCTAATCATGTACCAAACATTAATTCAATTAATTCTTAAGCTAATAAAAAATTATGGAAAAAATATCACTAGGTCAAGGACTAACATATTAACATCCACGAAAAGTTTCAGGAAAAAAATCATAAAGGATCATCAAGAATTAATTGCACAAAAATTAAGGACAAAATGAAAGTTAGAGAAATAACAAGGTGGTGTAGTGGATCAGGAGGATTTGTAGGAAGCAGATCCAATGTTATATAAGCCCAGGAAGACTTGTTTTTGTTCCAAGTAATTCAGGCTTTCAGGAAGAAATGCTATTGGGCTTAAGCATAAATTGCAGCTCGGCCCAACATCCAGTCTCAATCCAACATATTTCGTTTTTCCCATTTCAAACACCATTCTTGTTCAAAGAAGTAACTCCAAATTCAATGTAAAACAACTTTCCAAAAAAGGTGTGTCAAATGGTATACCATGGGCTTATGCAGCATTTTCGGTCTATCTACATTCAAAACCAATTGGACTCATACTTTTATTGGTTGTTATTGATTAAGAAGAAATTTTTTTTGAGAGAAAGATAAAAGAAAAGAAAACGGTACATTTGGATTTGACCCTTCATCTTCCACTCTTAAGTAAAGGCAATAGGTTTTCTAATGCAAATAGTGTGCAAGTAAGTTTGGTTTTTGGATGATGGCGATGCAGACCCTACAATAATGCTACAATGTCAAATTGATAGGTCTGGACTATATGCAGGTATATGGTAGTTTTGTTGGCAACTGATATTGTGTGCCTTGTGACGCAGATCTGGTTTATTATGTAGAGGTATCAGCTTGATGCATGGCTATCTTGGTTTATGTTTGGATTTTTGTCAATTTCTGTACTATCTTGTAATGTATGCAGGTTGTGGTTATTCATTGATGTTCAATTGGACTGCTTTGGTTTAATTGTTGCAGGACATTGTTTGGTTGCAGGTCTACATTTGAATGCTGCTAGATTTGGACGACGGGTTTGGTGCAAAAGTGATGGCATGCTATTGATGTCAAAGACTTGAGATTTTGGCTTGTCATGGTTGTGAAAGTATGAAGCATGATGGAATCTTGAAGATGGAAGCATAACGGAAAAAGATATTTAAGACTAGGTTTAGGATAGGTTCTTTTTTATGTAATCTCTTTGCTCTGATGTAATGCCTTTATGTTGTAATGGTAATGATGTAACTTGGGAGAAAGCCGCTTCAGAATACTCTTGAAACATAGTTATATGATCTTGTAATTGCTTAAGAATCTTGAAATAGAATTTCTACACCTTGAATGAATGTATTGGTTTTGAATAAATCGTGTGATCCTAGATCTTTTGAATTTTTTGATGGGTTGCGACTTTCCCATTTCTTGGTCGATGAGGGATAACCATTATGGTATCACGTTTGTCTAGACCTCTTGATGCGAGGGAATAACCACTATGGTTTTGATCCTTTTTCGACCTCCTAATGTGAGGGATAAGGTGTGGTGATCCTCAGATGTTCACATCCTTTTGATATTTGAATGCTCGATCTAGTTAGTTGAAAAGCTACCTGACCCCGGGTTAAAAATGAGGGTTTTTTCTGAACAGAAAAGAAACTCCTACTTAAAGGCTCAAAGGGGTTGACGAGGATCTATCTCCCTTATATCTCCGGTGTTTGGGGATTTTAAATAATGCATGCACATCGTCAGCATGGTTTTTACCCGAAATACCATTTGAGATTCTAGGTAAATTATTTCTCATCCCCTCTCCAGAGTTGTTGCTTTATTAACAAGAGTTGAGTATAAAAAACATAGTAAAATAAATAAGAGTGACAACGAATGGATTAATTCAAGACAAACATATTCGATGCATTATGCTAAATATTCAAAACATGAACAAGTTTGGCATACAACAAAGTACTTGAACAAAAACAAGAAAGATTGCAAACGAGAATGCAAATGAAATTTGAAATTACCATGTTGAGGAGACTTCTTCAGACTTGAATTATTTGAGGGGATGCTCTTTGTAGTCTTGGCACCTGTATGAGCAGGGGACTTTAGTTTATGCGCAAATCGCTTGGAGTGAATGTGATTTCTTTTAACTCAATTAGGTCTGGCACATTGTTCTTCGAAGCTTGATAGTTCTCAATTGAATGGCCAGACGCCCTTGAGTGGAAATCACATCTTGTATTTGCATCGTATCCCGAAGGGAGTGATGTTGGAGGAGGCACAAACTCTCTTATCTCAACCAATTGATAATGAAGCAAGAGATTAAGTATTTGACTGTAAGGCATAGGAATTGCATACAACTTTCTTTCTGGCTTCCTTTGCTTCTACTGTTTCTGCTGAGAGTAATTCTGTTGTTGACACCGATTCGAGAATTAATTTCGTCCCGACACTTGATTCCTCTGACCTGGATGAGGCATGGGCAATGGTTGCGGGCAGGGAGTTTATGGAATCTGAGGTTGCAAAGGATAGACACGAGGTAACTCCTGACCTGAAGTGAAACCTGGTAGATAGTAAGGATTGACCATTCCTACTGCAACAGTCGGTGGAGGATTTCCTCCCTTCTTCAACAGTGTTTGTAGGACCTCCGTAATCAGCCCCATTTGAGTCTTTGATTGATTTACCTCCATCCTCAACAATTCTTTCTCACGTTGAAATTCATCCATGATCACATGTCCCCCATTAGAAGAAGAGGAGGGAGAAATATCACTTGAAAACTTATAAATATTCTGTCTGAGTTCCTCTTGTCCCCGAATAACAACATGGAGAGTATCGACAAGTGGATTCATTCTGGAACACATAGTATCCATGTCTTGACGAAGAGCATTCTGATTCTACTCAAAGAGATCCATTAGTCTTTGTTGATTGCTTCTGGTGCGGTACGGATGTAGTTAAGTCGTTGTCGTTGATTCTGAACTTTGAATGAAGAGAAGGACCCAAATAAGATTATGATATGAACAATGAAATGCATGATATTGTGAATGCATGTATCATCTTTCATTTCCAAGGAAACCCAAAGACTTGTCTATCCATAAGTGTTCTTTTGGTAATAACATTCATCTTTTGAAAAGCTTGGCGAAAGAGACTCGTCTTTGGAATTCCCTGGAAATGGGATGCATACACATAATGATGTGATGTTATGGTATGCAACAACATGGGATCAAGGTTCCACAGAATCTGGGTAATAACTGTACAATCCTTTAAATAAGTATTGTACAATCTTCTTGATAAATACTATACAATCTTCTAGATAAATACTGTAAAATCTTCTAGATAAGCTGAATGTCATGAGATCAAAGGTTCAGAACATAAACCAAAGAACCATAGTCGCCAAGAGAAATCCAAAACATAACCATCAGAATAAATAATCACCATTTGTACCTGTAAAGATTATTCCCGCCCCACTCACGGGTAAAGACTAGGTTCGGGTAAGATCAATGGTAACTCAGAATCCCGGGTTTACTTTAAAATACTATCATCGTACACCTACGTGATAATGACAGTACCTCATTAAAATCTCATCTTAGCGTGGACGACATGACCTCACTAGGAAGATATACATCCCCTATCCATCATGTTCCACTCTATTCCTATGCGTTCCTAAGAGTTTACAACTTTGGCCTGGGTATTAGACTTTTTACCTCAATAGTACCACTCACCTAACAAGGAAACAACACAGCACAACAACAATATATGGAAAGCGGTAAAATGTTATGCAAATAAATGCATGAAAGCATGTAAATAAAGAAGCAATAAATCAATAACACACAAAAACACCCAAAGACAAGAAAATAAACAAAATCTAGGAATGACTTGCATAAGACGGACCAAGAGTTGGTCAACCTGTGCCCAATAGAATCGCCAGCTGTCTGCGAAAAAATATAGAGTCGCCACCGTACTCTATTTATCCCAAAGGAATATAAGATATCGAGAGAACCTCAAAGAAAGGGTACAAAAATCGGTTACGCAAAGGGAAGGTATTAGCTCCCCACTCGATTGTGGTACTCCACAAGATCGGCTTAACTTTTCTCTAATATAAGGGTTGTTATATCTAATGTTTACTTTCTAAGGACAAAATGCAAAGAAGGAATGCATGCAAAATAAAACACGGGGAAAAGAAGGAATATTTACAAAAATTTGCTTGCCTAGGCCCCGCGACCTAATGCATACGTATCCCTTTCAAGGAATCAGAGCACTGTAATTTGTCTCACATGTTTCGGTTTATTGTATGTTTTTTACCTTGAAAAGGGTTTTAAAAGAAAAGCCAAGTGGCAAAATGATGTTTGAATAGATTGGTGTTTTTTTTCTCAAAAAAGGGTTTTGTATTATTAGAGTGTTTTGAAGTTTAAAGAAAAAAAAAGTTTTAGTTTTAATGTGAATGCAAAAGAGAAAGCAAAAGGCCTAAGGAAAACTAGAAAAGTGAGCCTAGAGTTGCCATGCATGATTTGCAACCTAAGGTCTATCTCAATTCGCTTTCTAAGATTGAATCTAGAAATCCTACGGGAGCATGTAGTCGTGCAATGGAAAGTAAACACACAAAGCTTGAAGAATATCCACCCACTTAAGTAGCACACACCTAACAAAGGTATTATGTCACCAAGGTAGGAAAGGGAGATGGATCACGCCTAACCATGATATCGTGTCATCGAGGTAGCACAAGGGAGAAGGGACACCTAACCATGATATCGAGTCATCAAGACATGATAAAGGGGAGGCTTAACCAAGACATCGAGTTATCGAGGAAAGTAAGAATGGTGGAATAGGAAGTTCTTAACCATGATATTTCATCATCAAGGAAAGAAGAATAAGGGGTGTCGACTCTTAACCAAGATATCACGTTATCTAGGCAAGAGAAGAACGAGAGTGAATCTTCATACGCGACTAAACACCTTACTAAGATATTGCATTATCGAGGTAAGAGATAGAAGAAATAATGAGATCACATTGGAGAATCGACGTGCATGGCACCTGAGATAATGACAAAGCGTGGGGGTTGATTGGGAACCCTTCTCCACTTGTCTGACTCGATACAGGAATAACACGATTCGTAACATCGATATACGACACGAGCTACGAATGACCTGTAGACTAGAAATTATGGGGGTCGATTGCAGACCCTTTTCCATTTGCCTTCTTTGAGGACTTATCAATGTGGAATAATAATGGGATGCCTTCATCGAGGTCTTTGGCACAAATGTAAACACACAAAATGGTAAACAAACAATCACAAGTAGGAATTGTTTACTACAGGTCTTTTAAAACAACATTGCCCCGGCCTAACGCAAGGACTCCCAGTCATACATCTCTAGTCCTACTTCTCATGGAAAAGAGAGCGGTAAATGATGCAAGAGATAAAAGGAAATAAAAGAGAATACCAATCGAACGTAAGTCTGTCAATTATCCGACGAAAGCAAAGAAACCCGAAAATTTCATGTAAGCTTGACCAAGCAACAAAGAAACAGTAAGAAATAATATCCAATATCAGAATCAATGTCGCAAATACGAAAATAAATCGCATGAAGAATGTCTGTCGCATCGAATCAAAGTCTCTGCACAAGATAAGTCTATACAACAAGACAATAATCCAAGTGTCGCGTGTCGCACGACAAAGCCTTCGGAAACTTGCACAAGTCATAAATGAGTTAGCAAATAACAATGCAACCTGAAGAATCACATTATAACTAAAAAATAATGATAACATGCAAATAAGCAAGGTACGTATAAGCAATGGAAGACGAGAATAAAAAACCGGGCAGCACTACGCAACAATATGAAAGCATAAAAAGTCAGAATAAAAACGAACCAAAATGGTAGCGGTAACCACCAAATGTACCAACAAGCTTAAATAAGTTAAAACTAGGAATTAAATTAACACATGAGTACCACTTACCATCTCCAGGTAGCAACTTCACAATTTCTAAATGCATGAGAAATTATCTAAAAAACAAACGAAATCGATACCGTTATCAACCGATATGCTAACAAGCTCAAGTATACATGAAACACGAATTAAAACTCAATGGAGATGCATAAATTTTTTTACGGACATCAACTATTTCACCAATAGAATGTGCAAATATTTGATTTAAAATAATTAAAAAATGATCCCGCTAACCACCAATTATCCGCTTAAGCTCAATAATGCATGATGCAAAAATTATTTCTCAATGTGTATGCAAAAGCACTTTCTGGACAGCAACATTGCAATTTTTGAAGCGCTCGAAAAGTCGGAATAAAATCCATCGAAATTAATACAGGTATCCATCAAATGTGCAAGCAAGTTCAAGTAAGCATCAAGTTTGAATTAAATCATGTGTTACAGTGTGTTTCTAAGTTCCGGACAACACTATGCAGATGTTGATATTCATCAAGAATTGATTAAAAAATCACGGTTTTAAAGCCCTTAAATCGAATATCAACATATGGAAGTTTAATCGGAATTTACAAACAACAAGCATCTGCAAAATCGGTATCGAAACCACAATTCTAAGCATGGAAATTACAAACATCTTACGTGTTGAAATCAATATATAGTCTTGACAATTGGGCCTTGGTTTGGGCCAAAAGAAAGCCAAATCAATTTCTTCACAAAGCTGAATTTTTAGTGTCAGCAAACAAAGTTGAACAGAAAATCCACAAACTCGATGATGATTGGCGTGTAATCTCGATGCGAGACAAACAAAAAAATGATAGATGACGAAATTTGTGATGTCGTGTCGAAAGAACGGACGCGATATGATCAAAATCGAGCAAGTTATGAATTTCTGAGTGGGGAGAATATTTGACATTGACATTGTCCTTTTCTGTAATGCAGAATTTTCCACCGATCAGTTTGAGATGCGAACCATGAACCGAAGTCTTCGTACCTGAGTCCAAACTCAAGCTCTAAAGAAAACTTGTAGCCAACATCATTTGTGAAATTATGCCGCAAGAATCGTCTTGATACGATAAAAATCGAAGAAGTTATGATTTTTATAGTACCAAAAAACGGTGGAATAAAAATCCGAGTCAGCACAATATTTTCTCTAGTAATTCACATTTCTGGGGTTCTTCCTCAAAGAATCAGTCCTCAACCTGAACATACGGAATGAAGATGACACCAAGACATATTTTTCCCCAAAGAACCACTCAAAAACATTGAGCCGGGCGGAACTTATGAATTTTTGAACGTCTAAAAAACAATGGTCCAGCGCACCGTCTTCACTGTATTTCCACTGCATCTTTTCAAAGTATCCGCACATTCGGAGTTCTTTCTTACCGAATCAAATTTTGAGCCGAACATATGAACCGAATATGATATTAAGAAGGTTTTAACGCCGCAAGAATCACTCCAAAACAGTATTCCAATCAGAAGTTATGAGTTTTTAAGTACCCGCGAAACGACGGACCATCAATTAAATCCAGTACACTGTCTTCAAAGAATTAATTAAAACTCACAGAGATCTTCTTCACAAAATCATCCTTCGATCCGAACACGAGAAATGATAAGAAAATAAAAACGGTCTCAATGCTCGAAGAATAGATCGAAAACACTGAACTGCATAAAAGTTATGAATTTTTAAACACTCGAGAAACAAATAACCAGTCATTAAATTCAAATACTGTTTCAGGAAAATTATATTCTTTGGAGACTTTCTTCACAGAATTGGCTTTCGGTCTGAACAGATGAAATACAAAAAATACCGAGACGGTTCGAATGTCTGAGGAGCCATTTCAAAACAGTACCCCGGTTGAAAGTTGCAAATTTCTAAGCTCAAACCAGTAAAAACGTTGTTTCTGGTTCACACCGTCTCAAATTCACCGAAACATTTGATTCCTCCGCAATTTAGAGTGTGCTGAAATACATGAGAGCTTGACATGATGATGGCTTGATTGATTATTGATTTGATATATTTCGAAACATGCGGAACACACTTAAACCTTGAAAAATCAGAATTTTGCCTTATTGTGCTGCCCGACGAAACAATCTTTTTGTGCGTAGCTTCCGAAAAGGAATACCTTGATCCCATGACCATTTACTGATTAATGATGCATGCGATGCTAGATGACCTAATGAGAAGTTTGTACACAAAGAATGCGAGATGCATAAGCCAGATGATTTGAATAAAATGGGTATGACAAATTTGGGGTATGACTCGTGGATGTTTGATTTAATGAGTTTATTTGTATAATATTTGAAGCTTTAAATTTGAACCATTACAACTTTATAATATTTACATTAGGTTGTGTTGTGATCTCTGTTTGTTTCAGTAGATTTTATTAGTATTGTATTTTATAACTATTAGAAACTGATATTGTATTTTATAACTATTAAAAAATTGATATTGTACTTTCATATTTATCTGAAAATTTGTATTGTATTAATACTTTTATGAATAATTAAAAATCAAATAATTGAGTAAATCAATCCATTTAAACTGATAAATCGATTTAACCGAATCAGTAAAATCGATTAAGAAATCAGTTGAAATTAAGCCTCATAAATTTACCCATGATTTCAAACGATTTAATATTTTGGGTCTGAACCCAATCCAAACCAATCAATATCCACTTCTAGAAGGCACAACTAACCAGCCCAAGGTATTTTTGTTACTCAATGAGGTGTGCACGTTTGGAGGATTTCTTTACCACTAAAAAAAAAAGCTGTAAAGAATAAGGATAAGTCCTACCCACGACATTCTGTAATGAGGTGTGCACATATTGCTTGGAAAAGTTTTGCATTTGTTTTATTTTAGTTTCTAATCCTGTTAAAAAAATAATATTAATTATTTATTTCTCAAAATTATCTTATTAAAAATAAATTTTTAATTTATATAATTTCATAGGCATTTTGTGCTAAGAATAAATTTTTGATTTCATGCTTAAAGAACTCCATTATTTATTTGTTCCAATAGTTAGCATATAAGTCCACAAAAATAGTTGTGTCATGCATATATTATGAGCTAAATTTATTTATAATATAGTTGACATAAATTTCTATGGCTCTCCCAAATAACAATAATTTCATACAAACTCCATAAAAAGGTCAATATACTTGACAACTATTTAAATTAAATTTATAAATATTTAACGCGGAGTTCTTTTTCATAATGTTGTCACATTAGTTCTATATAAAGACATTACAAACCAAAAGAAAAAAATATCCAATTGTAAGATTTCAACTTCATAAAACATCAATTTCATAGCAGAAAAAAAGTTATCATTAATTAAGGGACTTAACATGGCAATTTTTGAATTATTTTTTACTTTGTTCTTGTTTGCAATTATACACAGTAACATTGCCCAAGTAGATGCAACTTTTTCCAAAAGCATGTATATTACATGGGGTGCTCAACATGCATCACTTCAAGGTGATGATCTCCAACTTGTGTTGGATAAAACTTCAGGTACAATTAAATTCTGTATTTAAATTTGAATCGTGGTTAATTAGTCTGTATTGATTTTTTAAGTATTGGTTTTCATTTTTTAAGTCTAATGAGCCAATAAATCGAACCAATAAGTTTTCTAAATTATTATATTTTGTTTCAATTTTTTTTAATTATATTTGGAATTTATTTTGTTTCTCAAATTTGAGTGAAATGTTAAGTCATTTATGTGATCTATATCAGATCATTTAATTAGTTTGTATTTGAAATTTGTTTAGTATTTAATTAGCTTAAATTTTAGATTGCATTTAAATTAGTTAGTAATTTGAAACATGAAGATTTTGAATTGTTTCAAAAGATGATTGCGGTAAAATTTGTGTTTTAAAATCTTTAGATAAAAATTACATTTATAGAAAATATTTCATGTTTGAGAATATTCATTATTAGGAAAATCTCAAATCCTGGATTAATTATAGATAGAGTTTAGAAAAAAAAAAATCATATATAGTGATACACGCCAAACTTTGATTTTAATATGACATCAGATCTTATTGATCGTGTCACAAATTATCTGTTATTTATATTTACACACCAAATTTAATAGCGTTGAGCGTTAATTAGTGTATTGAGAAAATTTAAAATGCATCATTGATTTAGATAGAATTTAAAAATAATTTATATAGAATGAAGTCCATATTAGTCGATTTTGTACAAATGAGTTATACTAAACCCTAATTCTAATATTGATCAACTGAACTAAATCGAATATCATTGATTTAATTTGGTTCGAATTCACTTTTAAAAACTAAAGAAAAACTAATCAAGGAGACTTAGTCGATTTAGATCTTCTGTTAGTCAAGTTGAACATCGAATTGAATCAGAGTTGAATCATGGTATAATCATATATGTTACCGTTTCAATCGATTTCTTTTATATTTAATTTTCTTTTTTTTGAATTTCACCACCAATATTAGACCAAAATACCTAATATATTTTTTTTAATTATAGGATCTGCGGCACAAACAAAGATACCATTCTTATTCGGAACTATTGAATCAAGAATCAAACTAGTATCAAACAATTCTGCAGGAACCGTTACAGCTTACTACGTAAGTTTAAAAAAAAATGAAAAATTGCATTAAAATCTAAATCAAATTTTAGATAAAGTAAAAATACTGATAATTGATTTGACAAAAATTATGCAGCTATCTTCCACAGGAAACCAACATGATGAGATAGATTTTGAGTTCTTAGGAAACATTTCAGGACAACCTTATACAATCCATACAAATGTATACACACAAGGAAATGGAAGCAAAGAACAACAATTTCATCTTTGGTTCGACCCATCTACTGATTTTCACAACTATACTATCCATTGGAACCCTACTGAAATTGTGTAAGATGATAATAAACTAAAACTATTCATTATTAATTGTGTTTAATATTGATGTACCATGATTATAAATATTTATGATGGTTCAATTTATTATAAAATTTTATACGTTAAAATCATTGACTTTGATCATTATTTGTACCTCTTTTTATAAATATAATTTGTATAAGATGGTTTACATTATTTGTAACACAGGTGGTATATTGATAGTATTCCAATTAGGGTATTCAGAAACTATGAAAATGAAGGCATTGCATACCCTAACAAACAAGGAATGAAGGTGTACACAAGTTTATGGAATGCTGATGATTGGGCCACTAGAGGTGGACTTGTTAAGACAGATTGGAGTAATGCACCATTTACAGCTAAATTTAATCATTTTAGAGCAAGAGCTTGCAAGTGGAATGGAGAAGTGAGTATTAGCCAATGTTCTTCAAATGTAGCTGCAAATTGGTGGATTTCTCCAACATACAAACAATTGGGCTATGCTCAATTAGGGCAAATGAATTGGGTTAGGAAAAATTATATGATCTATGATTATTGTCGTGATACCAAAAGATTTAATGGACAAATGCCTCTTGAATGTTTCAAGGCACAATTCTAGATTTGAGAAGGAATCACAAGATAGCTTGAAGGGGGTGTCTTTTGTCTTTTTTGTTTTTTGTTTTTTCTCATTTGTTTGATGTTACAAATTTGTGATTTGATTTAATTCTTGTTTTTCAAGAAGTGAATAATAAGATATATTTGTTTGTTTATTGCAATTTAAAATATTTTGATTTTAGTCTTTAGAAATATTTTGATCCATGCCAAAATCATTCTAATAAGACAAAATCTATAGTGTTTTTATTGAAGAAATTACAATGACAATAATAGGGAAGACTTGGACACAAGGATTGGAAGAAATGAATAAAAAAACAGACAAGTTTCATAAGTTGAATTCACTAGCAAGTCATTGGAAAAAATATGTCGCACATTTTATAACAATGTGATGTTTTATGTGAAGATCTCTGAAGACACATATGCAAAACTTCATAACTTTTTACTCATCTTTTTATGAATTTTGATGTATGTAATTGTTTTATATGTTTACCTACACAACTAATGTTTTAGTTTTGAAATGTTTAGAATATTTTATATAAGTTTGAAGTACGAATATTAAATAGATAAAGTTTGAAATAATAATAATTATTTTCAATTATTTTTTATTTTTTATTTTTAAATAAAATTCAAAAATAAAATTGAATAACAAAAGATGAAAAAAAACAAATGTTACCAGAAATATAAAAATTAAAATTTATTATCAGTTTAACCTGATATGAAACATATATAAAATGTTTTTTTTTTTAAGAAATGGTTTGGTTCGAAGTGTCACAATTTTATATTTGAGGCGATTGACAATATTCGTAATTAATCTTCAAAAACAAAATATCAAATAAAATTGACAACGATTAAAATTTCGCAATTAAATTTTGGAGGTAGTTTGAGAACCATCGCAATATGTTGTACTAAAATGGATACTCATCCAAGTCTCACATCGAGTAATGTGAAGGAAAAATGAGTAAAAAGTTATTATAAATATAGAGAATTAGTTTGAGTTTATTTACCACAACAATTCTAGTCTTTGGGTGTATTGGGGATTTGGGTAGTTGTGTGTCTAGAGAGGATTTATAATTTTTTCGTACAAGAATTGTGGTTGAGAGGGTTTTCTATTTTTCTGTTCAAAAATAGTTGTTGAGAGTGTTTACAATTTTTCCGTCCATAAATTGAAGTTAGTAATAAATTTTTGATTGCAAGTTTATTTTATTCTATCTGTATCAATTTTTGGAGATTTACTTTGATATATTCCCAACAACTGGCATCAGAGCAATGATTTCGGTCAATGGAAGAAATCACATTGCTATCATCTTATTTGATTTGAGTTTTATTTTCATAAACAATATTATGGCTACGTTGAAGTTGAATATTCCTTTGTTTGATGGGAGAATAGATTTTCCCTTATGAAAATGCACGATACAAGACTATTTGGTCCAACAAGGTCTTGATTGTGCTTTGGAAAAAGCAAAACCAAGTGAGATGAAAGAATCAGATTGGAATTCAATACAAAAAAGGCAGTGAGTATAATTCGGTTGGCACTTGCTCTACAAATTAAAGTGACTGTGTTGAAAGAAACCTCTCCAAAAAAACTGTGGGATTTATTAGAAAGCAAATTGCATCAACCACATAAATCAATCGATTGATGATGAAAATGAATTTATACTCATTGAAGATGGAAGATGAATGTAATGTATTTGACCATATTAATAAATTTAATGAGTTGGTATCTAGCATTATGAATGCAGGGGAAGATATCAAAGATGAAGAGCAATCAGTATTTTTGTTGGCTTCTTTATCCAAATCTTATAAATCATTAGTACAATCAATGTTAGCAGGGAAGAACACACTACAGTTAGATGAAATAGTGAAATCATTAAAGGAGATTCAACAAATAATGGGTATTGATCAATCTTCCGGAAAAAAATCAGGTACTAGTAGCTAAAGGAGGACAAAGAAAGAACTATAGTGATCAATATAGTAGGAATTTTAAACCAAGAGATATGAGTTATGTCAAGTGTCATTATTGTCAATAATTTGGTCACATGAAATCTAGATGCCCAGAATTATAGAGGATGTATGGTGTCACTATTATAAATAGCGCTTCTAACATCGGACGCAAAATGTGTTTTACCTCAGCATTTGAAGCGAGGTAAATAAGATCGTCATTAAAAGTATGGACTTAATGCCTCAGTGTTTATAAGACCGGGGTAATATTTTTTAGCGAATGGGTTCGAACCCCAGTTTCTACATTATTATTATTTAAAAAAACTAGGGCCTCTTTTATTTCGGTTTATCAAGAAAGCCGAGGGGTTATTCTTTTTTTTCTTCAATAAAACTCGTTACTTTATTTACCCAAAATATTAAGTATTTTATACAAAAAAATAAAATCAATTTTTCATGAAGATCATAAGTTGAAGGTGTGAAAAACACAAGAAGGGGAGGGGGGGGGGGGGGGGGGGGGGGGTTGTAATAACAATAATTAAGAACAGGAAGTAAAGAACAAGATATGTTTATACAAGTTCACTTGAAAACTATCAAGCTAGTCTAGTCCACCCATTAATGTGATTTCGCCTCTCTCTAACGAGGACTTAATCCAATAATCAAAATGATTAATACACTTGCACACACCAATTGTATGTGACTAAATATACAATCTTTAAAACACACAAGTCTTAAACTTCTCAAGAATACTTACCTAACTGATCTCTCAAGGAACAATCTTTAAAACACACAAGTCTTAAACTTCTCAAAAATACTGACCTAACTGGTCTCTCAAGGAACAATCTTTAAGATACATAAGTCTTAAACTTCTCAAGAATTATGACCTAGTTGGTCTCTCAAGGAACAATCAAACAATTGTTTTAATAATTCGTTTACAATGAAAATGCTTCTACACAAGCGGATATGTAAATATTAATTTTAGAACATAGACTAGAGAAATATGAAAGTGTATGAACAGTCTCTTTAGAATGTGAATAGGCGTGAATTCACAGCTTTCTCTCATAGTCTTCAAGTCTTTATATAGCCAAAAAAAAATATTATAACCGCTGAAGGATATTTCTGGAATTTCAGAATCTTTGGCGGCTTTAATCACGTGGAGGACAAGATCGTACGTAGTGTCCGTCCTTCATGGTAGTGGAATGATACATTTTGATTGTATTGTACCCCAAAATTTTCCCTCTCATCTTTTCCAAGATTTTCTCTTGCTTGGGTGGCTACAAACAATTGCTTAAAGAAAATATTTTTTTTTGAAGATGGTCAAGTATCCTTCGATTGGCATATTAGAATGAGGTGTACTTCGAAGGCAGGTCAACAAAGTGTCCTTCGATTGGCATATTAGAATGAGGTGTACTTCGAAGGCAGGTCAACAAAGTGTCCTTCGATTGGCATATTAGAATGAGGTATACTTCAAAGGCAAGTCAACAAAGTGTCCTTCGATTGGCATATTAGAATGAGGTGTACCTCGAAGACATGTCAACAAAGTGTCCTTCGATTGGCATATTGGAATGAGGTGTACCTCGAAGGCATGTCAACAAAGTGTCTATCGATTGGCATATTGGAATGACGTGTACCTCGAAGGCATGTCAATAAAGTGTCCTTTGATTGTCATATCAGGATGAGGTGTACTTCGAAGGCATGTCAACAAAGTTTCCTTCGATCGGCATATCAGAATGAGGTGTACTTTGAAAGCATGTCAACAAAGTGTCCTTCAATTGGCATATCAGAACAAGATGTCTTTTGATAAGAATATCAACAAGTTGAAATTTCGATTGGTCCAAATTGAGGGAAATCGAAGAAGGAAGAATGAAGCTTCGACCAGTCCATAAGGTAAGTCTTTGATTGGTCCAAATTGAGGGAAATCAAAGAAGGAAGAATGAAGCTTCGACCAGCCCATAAGGTAAGTCTTTGATTGTCCCAAATTGAGGGAAATCAAAGAAAGAAGAATGAAGCTTCGACCAGCCCATAAGGTAAGTCTTCGATTGGCCCAAATTGAGGGAAATCGAAGAAAGAAGAATGAAGATTCGACCAGCCCATAAGGTAAGTCTCCGATTGGTCGAAATTGAGGGAAATCAAAGAAGGAAGAATGAAGCCTCAACCAGCCCCAAAGTCACTTCGAATGGCCACCTAAAAGAGCAAAGATTGGGAGCATGTCGAAAGAATCAGGCAAATCGAAGAGGCCTATTAGGATGAAGTTTGTTGGGTTTGTACTGGTTATCTTAAGGCCCAAATTCGAGCAAGACACCAAAACCATAACATGTCTAGGTGCATTATGCTTCGAAGATGGCAAGAAAATGATCAAAATGGCAACTTTTGATACAAATTGAAAGTCCCATATTTTCTCATAAGTGACTAAGATTTTATACAGGTTTTGGTTAACCTAATTCACCCCTATAAATACCAGACCAAATAAGAAGCAAAAGGACACTTTCACACATACTACCTCATACGCGCAGCCTACCTCCAAGAAACTCCAAAAAGTTTCATAAAAAATTCCAAAGTTTCCGAACTCAACACCTATTGCAGACAACCTCCATCCAAATTCACATCCAAATCGTGTTCCTGGGGTTTTCACAGACGCATACCCACCCTTGCACAAGCCATCTCACGCCCAGGATTGCAGATCGAAGCGCCTCCAGTTGGTAAAAAAATCCAGTCTCATTCAATCTATAATTTAAAATCATGTTGATTGCATGTTCATATTATTATTGTTTTGTGAATGATTTAACGTAATATATGTAAGTTTCAGTGCCCAGATGATAGGATATCATAGCTAGGACTTTTGAAACTGGTCACTTTCGAAACCCATGGTACAGACTGTTGCAGATCGAAACAACCCCAGATACGGGTTCAGGGGCTGATTTTGAGTGGAATAGGGTTCTCCTTGTTTGGTTTTGAAACTAACAAACTTGCAGGATTCAATGTTAGTTTCCTTTATTTCGATTGAACAACTAGCTCAGACGGTAAAGGAATGTGTGCGTTGGATGAAGGACCTGGGTTTGAATCACAGGTCAGGCATTTTTGTTTTCTTTCTAACATATTTGTTTGCAGATCCAGTACTGGCGTATCCCATGCGCACACCCTACATCTTCAGATCTTGTCCATCAGATCATAGCTGATCCAGATCCGTGCGCCTCAACATGCAGCCTATGGAGCACCCTCTGAAGGCCAACAACATTGAAGTCAGGCGCAACCTGGACTTCTCCTAGAATTGGGCCAAAGAATTTTCAAACACACCCCCGACCTTCTAGTTAGCATCCAGGCCCATTTGCCTTTCTTTGTTTTGTTTCTTTCATTCCTTATTGCTTTTAGTCTTTTTTATTTAATAATTATAAAAATCACAAAAATTAGGTTTAGTTTTTTAAATTAAAAATAATTTTGTTAATTGATTAATTGATTACTTTAACTTTATTTTATCCAATTTAAAATCAATAGACCTACAATTTAATCAAATTTTATTTCATAATCAAAATAAAACACAAAAAAGATTTCCTTTTACCTTAGGATTTTTAGGCGTATTTTCAATTCACGCGCTTATTTTAAATTTCGTATTTTTATTATTAATGTACATGCTCATGGGTTGTAATAGAATAACTAGGACATTTACTACTTTTATCTCCCCATTTTGGACTTGTAATAATCCCCTCCCTGAAGCCTTGTAATAGCGTAGATTTAAATTCCCGCACTTTAAATTTTTGTTCATATATTAACTGCTTAGATGTGTGCCTAATAGGATTGCATGACAAGAGCATAAAAATCAAACGTTAGAAAACCTAACACAAGACAAAATAACTGAACACAACACACCCACACATGCGCACCTCTAGGGTACTCCCACTTCGGTTGCCTTCTAAATAGTCACAACTCTCGAAACTTGAGAGATTTTAGAGGCTACCCTCCGGTTCAAAGATCATAAGTCCCTCGATGACCCTTTCAACATTGCCTCGGTATGATCTTAAAACCCTAGGGTAGTTACTAGGGTTTCTTGCCAAGTTTCCTTTGTGCCTATAAACGTCTCTTCGAATGTCCCTCAAACATCCAACGATAGGGCTACTAACTCACTAATAGTAGGATAGCACTGTCTAAAGGAAAATAGGAAAATAACAAAAAAAATTGAGTAGGTAGTAGTTCTTAGATACTTTCTCAAATAAAACATACTTTTTACACTTACACTTCTTTCAAAAAACAATTTCAAAACACTTTGTATACTTTCTCTACTACCCCGAGAAACATTACAAAGTTCGCCGCACTAAGGCACTTTCAAATACTTTTCAAACACACAAACACAAGGTATTTTCAAATGAGCAAATGTCTAAGAGCCCGTAGAAAACTACGGATGAAAAGGTTGCTAACACCTTCCATTTCCATAATCTACCCCCTTACTTAGAAAACATCTCAAAAGGTATTTTTCTGTTCTTTTCACCCTTTCCTTTGTTGGATAAAAGAAAATTCGGTGGCGACTCTTGCTTACCGCAATATTTGCAAATACAAACGCAAAACCAGTATAACAGTCAGTTTTGCGACCATATTACAGAACTGGCGACTCTGCTGGGGAGATAAAAGTGGGGTTACCTTAGAGTCTAGTTCATTTTAAATTGCTTTACCTTGTATTCTTTGTCTGCTTTACTTTTGATGGCTTATTGGGGTTTGTAGCGGTGAAAATCGGAGATCAAGCTATTAATTAACTTGACTCACAAAAGCAAGAGTCGCCACCGCGCTTTATTATTTCCAAGGGAAAAGGGAAAAGAGCGAAATAAAACCCTAAAATATGCAATGTAAAGTAATATTTAAAAGTAATGAAAATACAATGCGTTTTTAAAAGAGATTGAGAGTTTGGGGGTTGGTTATACAATGGGAAGGTATTAGCACCCAATGCATCTGCAGTACTCCGCAGGAACCTTTTGAAATATTTGTTTTTGGTTAAAATTGTTTGTTTAGTTAAATGGGTATGGATGAGATTTTGAAGATACGACGACCTAGTGTTGAAGTTTTGACTTAAAAGGGGTGTGAGTTTAAAAATTGATTTGTAGGAGATTTTTCTTAAGATTAACAAAACTAAAAAGTATGAAGGGATTTCACATAATCGTATTAGATACTCGATGACATGAAGTCAACAAATTAATTCTTTCCCTTGGATTTAAAGCCACAGACAGATAAGTAAGCTAAGAGTATACCAAACCTTAGGTGAAAATAAATCACAAGCCGACAGCATCAAAAAAACCTGATGTGAGATAATACTCCAAGCATCAGATAAAGCGCATCAAGTGAAAATAAATCACATACGAGAAAAGTGTGTCAGGAGAGGAATCAGATAAAGCGCAAAGGCGATGGATAAAGCTCACGGTGTCAGATAAGAATCCCTGCATCACAAGAGATATACCGACAAAATCTAACAGCACGGGAAACTTATGTGCGTCCGCACAATTTTCAGAAGTTAGTTGGAATTAAAAATAAAATCACAATGCAATGAAAATAATATTTACATAGACTGAATTTATTTACCAATGAAATGAGTAAAATATACAGTAAAAAATATTATGTACAAGTATATATTTACAGTACCAAATATTAAATAAGAATAGTAAAATACAATAAAAAGGTAAAAGGGAGAAGTGTAGGAATTGTGGACACGCTATGCGGGAATGAATTGCTTGAAACGATTTTCAGAAACCTTCACAGTAAACAGACTTGTTAGTAGCATAAGCGGTATAAAAATTAAAATGAAGGAAATTTAAAAAATTAGTATTTATGTTAGAAATCATAAAATAAAGAATAGAAATGAAATTGTATGATGTCCATGAACAAATGAATATTTACACAGATGAAAAATCAAGAATTCATTATGTAATTCAATCCAATTCCGATACATGAAAAATCAAACTTAAATATGCAAATCAAAAGTTGGACATCATAAAATCTCATGAAAAATCAATTTCCAAGCTTATGTACAAACACCGATATTAACCAACAAATTTTTGTGAATCGAATACAAATTGAAACATCATCAAAAATCACCTTCAAATGGCTCAAATAACAGGACAACATCAACACCGATAATTTAATCAACTCATGCCATTTTCATATTAAGTCCAAAAAGTGATTAAAATAAGTTTTAAATCAAAATTTCAGCAAGATATAAATCCGGACAACAACTTAACAATATGTCGGTGCTCTACGAAATTCAACTCAAACGAGTGTTCAACGCAAACGGAAAACATCTATATCAACACCAAAATTTCATCATTCAATTTCAATGTGTTCATGATTCAACCAACAACAATAAAAGAGCAAATTACCATAAAAACCAACTCCAATGCTTTTCATCAAAGATTCTATTATTTTCAGCATTCTATTTCCAACGATCATCACCTTCAACAATTAAACAATCTAATAACAAATATCATAATTCAATCACAACTAAACCAAGAACGAAATCACCATTATGTAATTCAACAATAATAACATGACTAAATCATTAACTTCTTGAACACCAAATTACTAACCAATCATCATCAAATCAAAACAACTCAACAAAGCAAAATCAACAAAACAAATGATGTCATCACCAAACTATGCATAATTTCAACAATACCGATTTCATGTTTTATTCAACAAAAGTAAATAAGAAATTACTAAAAAAAAGGGATAGAGTTTTACCGCAACTGCAGAAAACGTTATAGCTTGTGAGCGAAAACCGAGTTGCAATGTCGGAGCTGTTAGTAGAGCTAGACAGCAGAACTGATGAAGGGCGATTGGTTGTGGGTGTTTCACGGTTGAAACAGAGGCGGAGGGATATGCTAGCAGAGACGGAAGGCGAGGGAGATGCTGGAGCTTGCGGTATCACGGTGATGATGAGAAATCCGGTTGGGTGTTATTGTGAGGATGTTGAATCACGAATTCCAAACAGAGGGAATTTGGTAGGTGGTGTTGTAATAGAGAAAGGGCGAAGGAGGTGAAGCGGATTTGCGTTTGATGGTGTTTGGAAACTGAAGTGAGGAATTGGAAGTGAGATGTGGTTGTATGATAGAAATGGAAGGGAGGTAGATAGAAGATGGGTGGAACAATGAATTTGAAATTGAAGATGGGGTTACTGTACGTTGAAAGAGAGAAGAGAAATAGAAAGTTTAAGAGTAGAAGTAGCTACTGTGTTGCTTTTTGTTTTTTGTTTTTTTTTGTTTTTGTTGTGTGTCCTTTACAAAAGAGAAATAGTTCTCTTTAAATAGCCAAAGTGAAGAAAAAAATTGATTTCAATAATTAATCTCATCCGTTCAAAATAAACTCAATCTGTATTAATCCACAACTATTGCTATCAACCAATAAGAAAAAAGCAAAGTGTAATTAATTATTTTTATGACAAAAACGCCCTTAAATGATAAAAATGAAATAAAAAACTGAAAGTATTTAAATTAAATCAATAAAAAAATATTTTTTTGAATTTTTTCATAATAAAAAATAAAGACCCAAAATTACCGAAAACAATAAAAAAACGGACGAAAATTTATCCGAAAAAAATAAAATGAACACATTAAAATAAACTACATGTCACAAAGATTAAAGAAAAAATATTCAAAAAAAGTAAAAATAGGAATAAAATGATAATGAAAATACCAGGCTAAACAGACGTTTTACGGTTAAAAACGAGACTTCAAACTGTATCGAAAAAATAAAGCGAGCATACCGTCATAATCTATGCGAGATGCAGATTCATAAAATGATCGGTAAAAGGTGAAAACTTGAAATATTTTTCTCGCTAATTTTTCTCACATTGTTGAATCGCTTTTAACAGTTTGTCTATAAAACCAAAATATTTTTATTATCGACATATAAACAACTTGGAGCAATGCAAGAAACGAGTAAAGAGATAAAAATGCATGAAGTGAAATGTCAGGTATTTTTTAACTAAAAGACGATGCAAACTTTGATTTAAACTGACTTTTTCTGGTCAACTTAAATACGACTAATGATGCAAAATGTGATGAATGAAGATATTTACTAATGATTGTGACTAAATAACAAAATATGATATGAAAGTGCGACTAAAACATTGTAGGTGTTTAGGTATTGGCTTGCATTTTTGGTAAATTCCAAGTGTATGTGTGAATGTCATGACTGATGTCATAACATTCTAGTTCAGGTTGTACTAACTCTTTAGGTACATGTGCAGAAAAATATTGTAACTCAAATACTGATGTTTATAAGTGTGTATCTGAGCATGTTTGCAAAATGATCACATTTTGCTAAATCAGTAGACAGGTTTTCTCAGATGTCATAACAGATGTTATGACATCCTGTTCTGAACTAGCAGGATTACAGGATTGGATAAGTCTGAGTTTTTTCAGGAAATAACTCAGTCCTTCCTAAACAGAATCCTGCGTTTTCTGAGGAGTAACCTAGCTCAATCCTAACCTGATCAACAAAGTACTGTGACCTGGTCTTTAGGTCAAACGGAATCAACCCTAGGTTTTTGGAAACCCTAACTGAAGTTGCAACTGCTATATATTCAACAGAGCTGCGGTTTTTGAAGAGATTCCTGCTGATTGATTAGAAGATCAATTTTGTAATCTGTATAGATTTGTTTATTGTACTCCAAGCAATTATCATTGTGATAAGTGCCTTGGAATAGGTTTCAATTGTAAGGGTTGTGTAGCACTCAAAGCTTTGAAGCAAGAGTGTTTGAATGTTACTTGACTAAAGCTGTGAAGCAGAGTCAAGTTAGTTGTGTACAACACTCAAAGCTGTGAAGCACGAGTGATTGTGTTACTTGATTAAAAAGCTGTGAAGCTTAATCAAGTGTGTATTTTTGAAGAGTGTCTTCATTAATTCTTAAGTCAAATTGGTTTATGTATCACTGCTGTGATTGAGGGGGAGTGAGTAGGAACTCAGGTTTAAGTTGTACTTAGATTAGAATTGCATTGGGTAGGTCTTAAGTGAAGGAGATAAACTGGTTGGTTTATTCCTGAATTAACATCTCTTATAGTGGATTCTCTCCCTGGCTTGGTAGCCCCCAGAGTAGGTGTTGTTGCACACTGAACTGGGTAAACAATTGACTGTGTTATTTACTGCTTTTATATTTACTGTCATATAGTAAGTCAGATACGGTGTCATAACATTGGACGTGACATTGAGTATCTGTAGCCAGAATTTCAATTGGCATCAGAGCAGGCACCCTGCCTGTATTACTGGGTGAGATCTAGGGATATCACTTTCTGGCACTATGTACAAAGAAGGAGTTTTTGGAAATAGACCACCCATTCTGGATGGAACTAATTATGACTACTGGAAACCTCGTATGATTGCCTTCCTAAAATCTCTGGACAAAAAGGCTTGGAGAGCTGCTGACAAAGGATGGATTCATCCCACCATAACTGAGGAAGATGGGACAATCAGTCTGAAGCCTGAGGAAGATTGGAGTAAAGAAGAAGATGAGCTAGCCCTGGGAAATTCCAAAGCTCTAAATGCCTTGTTCAATGGAATTGATAGAAATATTTTCAGATTAGTTCATCAATATGAACTGGCCAAGGAAGTTTGGGACACTCTCAAAACTACTCATGAGGGAACTTCCAAAGTAAAAATGTCAAGGCTTCAGATGTTGACCACTAAGTTTGAGAATCTAAAAATGATGGAAGATGAAACCATTCATGAGTTTCACATGAACATCTTGGAGATTTCCAACACCTCAGGAGCACTGGGAGAAAAAATGTCAGAAGAAAAACTGGTGAGGAAGATTCTCAGATCCTTGCCTAAAAGATTTGCAATGAAGGTGACTGCCATAGAGGAAGCCCAGGACATTAGCAAGTTGAAAGTGGATGAACTTATTGGGTCTCTTCAGACTTTTGAGATGGGAATCACTAATGATGATGTCAAAAAGAACAAGAGCATAGCACTTATGTCCAACACTGATGTTGAAGAAAACATTTCAGAAGCTATAGCCATGCTAGGAAGACAGTTCAACAAACTCATCAAAAGAATAGATCCAAAGTCAAGGTCTAATGTTCATAACATTTCCTCTGACATTGACAGTTCCAGCAGAAGACCAAGGTCAGATGAGAAGGGAGTTCAAGGCAGAGGAATTCAATGCCATGGTTGTGAAGGATATGGGCATATTCGAGCTGAATGTCCTACCTTTCTTAAGAAACAAAAAGGAATGACAGTTACTTGGTCTGACTGTGATTCAGAAAGTAATTCTGAAGAAGAGACTGCCAAACGAGTTACTGCTTTAACTGGTGTTTGTACCTCTGAAAGTGACATCAGTGATGAAGAGGTGACTTTTGAAGAACTGGCTGAAACGTACAAGGAATTGTGTATCAGAAGTACTGAAGTCTGTGTGCAGAATAAGAAACAATCAAAACTCATCATAAAGATGGAGGCTGAAAAACGGGCAAACCTTGAAACTATAAGTCTTCTAGAAGGAGAAGTTCAATTGCTGAACTCACAACTGAATCAAATGACCAAATCTGTCAAGATGTTGACAAATGGAACTGACAAATTGGAAGAGATCCTACAGATTGGACAAAATGTGGGAAATAAATCTGGTCTAGGATTTATGAAAGCAACGAAATCTGGTTCTGGTAGGCAAATGTCAAAACAGATGTCTCAACACAACTCTCGACATCAGGAACAGAAACATATGAGGAAAAGGTACCAAAGATGGAAATGTCATCATTGTGGTAGATATGGCCACATAAAGCGTTTCTGCTTCAGATTACATGGATACCCTAATCAGAATTCAGGTGTCAAACCTAAGTCTAAAAAGGTACCACATGCTCCTCAATGGAAGAAAAATGCTACTGCACTGATAGCTCACACTTCCCTGAGGGTCTCAGCAAAGGAAGACTGGTACTTTGACAGTGGATGTTCCAGACATATGACTGGAATCAAGAACCTCCTCAATAATGTTAAGCCTCACACCACCAGTTTTGTGACCTTTGGAGATGGGGCTAAAGGTGAAATCAAAGGAGTTGGTGATTTGAACTGCCCTGGAGTTCCAAGTCTAAATGAAGTACTGCTGGTGAAAGGACTGACCGCTAATCTCATTAGTATCAGTCAACTGTGTGATCTAGGATTCAAGGTCAATTTCTCAAAATCTGAATGCCTTGTAATCAATGACAAACAAGAGATAGTAATGAAAGGAGTCAGATCCAAAGACAACTGTTACTTATGGGAGGCTGAGAACACTAATTTCTCATCTGTGTGTTGCATTGCAAAAGAAGAAAAAGAGGTGAAACTGTGGCACCAAAAACTTGGCCATCTTCACCTAAGGGGTATGAAGAGGATTATCTCCTTGGAGGCAGTCAGAGGGATTCCAAAACTGCTAATTGATGAAGGAAGAGTTTGTGGTGAATGTCAGGTGGGTAAGCAGACGAGGATGTCACATCCAAAGTCAAGACATCTGACCACCACTAAGGTTCTAGAACTCCTCCATATGGATCTGATGGGACCAATGCAAGTAGAGAGCCTTGGTGGTAAAAGATATGCCTATGTGGTTGTGGATGATTTTTCCAGATTCACCTGGATTAATTTCATTAGAGAAAAATCAGATGCATTTGAAGTCTTTAGAGAACTGTGCAAAAGAATTCAAAGAGAGAAGGAAGGATGTATTGTCAGAATCAGAAGTGATCATGGCAAGGAATTTGAAAACAGCAAGTTTGATGACTTCTGTGCTTCAGAAGGAATCAGTCATGAGTTTTCTTCTCCCATAACACCTCAGCAAAATGGAGTTGTGGAAAGAAAAAACAGGACCATACAAGAATCTTCCAGAGCAATGTTACATGCCAAAAGACTTCCTATGTATTTTTGGGCTGAATCTATGAATACAGCTTGCTATGTTCATAACAGGGTCACCTTGAGAAAGAGAACCTCATCCACCATATATGAACTCTGGAAAGGAAGAAAACCAACTGTGAAGTACTTCCATGTGTTTGGCAGCAAATGCTATATCCTGTCTGATCGTGAACAG